GGGAGAAACACAGAGAATTCCATCTAGAAAGATTTATAACCTCTGAAAACTTGCTAGAGGGTCAGCTATGAGTTGACTCTAATTTGACATCAATGAATTAGGTTCCCAGAACACTTGGATGTATTTATGAAAAATCTATACTTGGTCCTAGAAACAGTCCTCAGGATATAGCAGGGAAACACTGCATGGTTTAAAATCAGGAAAGAAGTGCATCAGGGATGCACCTTGTCTTCAAACCTTTCCAATCTATATGCATAACAGATCATTCGGAAAGCTGGGCTTTATGAGGAGGAATGTAGCATCAGGATTGGAGGAAAACTCATCAACAACCTCCATTATACAGATGGCACAACCTTGCTTGCAGAAACTGAGGCACTTGCTGCAGAAGGTCAAGGACGATAGTCTTCAATATGAACTGGAGACATCAAGAAGACAAAGATTCTCACCAATGGGCCAACTGGAAGCATCATGATAGATGGAGAAGAGATTGAGGTTGTTAGGCTCCACAATCAAAACTCTTAGCACCAGCAATCAGGAAATAAAAAATAAATTGCTTTGGGGAAATATGCTGTCAGGGACCTCTCCAGAGTAGTGATAAACAAGGATGTCAGTCTAAAGACTAAGGTGCACCCGATCTAGGCTACAGTCTTCACAATTACTTGCTATGCATTAGAGAGCCGGACAATGACTAAAGATGACAGAAGAAGAATCAATGCATTTGAATTGTGATGCTGGAGAAGAGTCTTGAAAATGCCATGGACCACTAAGAAAATGAATGGATCTGTCTTGGAGATGTTGAAATAAAGTTTCTCCTTGGAGGCTAGGATTTTGAAGCTCTGTCTCATGTACTTTGGGCACGTTGCCAGTAGAGATCAGTCCTTGGAGAAGGGCATTATGCTCAGAAGGGTGGACGGACAGTGCACAACAGGAAGACCCGGATGAGATGGATTGATACAGTAACTAGGGCTATGGAGGTTGGTGTTTCAGAATTAGTGAGACTGGCTTAGGATATGACAGTGTTCAAAGCTGCTGTACATATAGGGTCACTGTGGGTGGCAGGCAACTAGACAGTACATAACAACAACACACCATGGACTGCCAAAAGAACATAGGACAAGGTGTTGTTGTTGTTGTTATGTGCCATCATGTTGTTTGCGACTCATAGCGACCCTATGTACAACAGCCCTAAACCGTGCTCTATCCTGTGCCAATCTCATTGCCTCTGACACACCCATCCCAAGTACCCCAGTCACTGAATCAATCCACCTCATAGAGGGTCTTCTCCTCCCGCGCTGTCCCTCTACTCTACCCAGCATGATGTCCCTCTCTAAAGACCTGTCTCTCCTTACAACATGTCCAAAGTATGTCAGACGAAGCCCCAGAATCCTTGCCTCCAAGGAGCAGCCTGGTTTAATCCTCTCTATGATGAATCTGTTTTCTTGGCAGTCCATGGTACATCAATACTCTTCTCCAGCACCACAGCTCAAAGGCGTCAATTCTCCTTCTATCCTCCCTAGTCATTGTCCAACTCTCTGATGCATAACAAGTGATTGCAAAAACCATGGCCTGTATCAGGAGGACCTTAGTCTCCAGAGAGACACTGTTGCTCTTGAGTATTTTGGAGAGGTCCCTAACAGCAGACTTTCCCATCACAATACGTTTTTTTATTTCCTGGCTACTGGTGCCAAGAGTGTTGACCGTGGAGCCGAGCAAAGGTAAGTTTTCAATATATTGTTCATAGGGTTGCTATGTTGTTGTTGTTGTTATGTGTCATCAAGTTGCCTGTAACTCAAAACAACTCTATGCACAGTAGCTCTAAATCCTGTCCTATCCTGATCCAATATCATTGTCTCCAACACATCTAACCTCAATACCCCAGTTACTGTGTCAATCCATATCCTCTAGGTTCTTCCTCTCTTGCACTGTCCCTCCATTCTTCCAAGTACAGGCACCATCAACCAGAGCCAAAGAAGAGGAAATACATTATTTCTAGCAACTTTTGCAGTTGGAAATCAATCAAATAAGGGTTACTATGAGTTGTAGTCAATTCTACATCACCAAAGAACAACAACCAAAAGAAGAAACAAATCTGTATTGGAAAAAGTGAAATCAGAGTGTTTGTTAGGAGAAAGGATGGTGACCTTTCCTTTTACATACATTAGGTATGTTATCAAGAAGGGCAAGTCTGAAAGAAGGAAATCAGGTCAGAAAAGGGAAGAGTCAGCAAAAAGAGGGGGAAGTTCAGTGAGACAGGTTGCCACAGTGGCTGCATCTGTGAGTGTAAGCATAGGAGAGAGTGCTAGGAGGATCCAGGAGTTGGCAGGATTTTGTACCTAGGACAGCTGTGTGTCAGAGCCCATTCAAAACACCTAATAACAATAGGAATATTTTTATTAAAAAAGATTAAGTTACTAGTAACATAATGCATAAAACTTTATAAAAATTTTATTTCGTCACCCCTCTGACAATGTTTCCTGGTGACACCCTCTTAGTGATGCCACTGGGGAAGTAAATGTAAAAATGGAATAGCATTGAGAAATATTCAAGGAGATGAACACCATTTTACTCTAATTTAGTATCTCTTTGGTTTGTTTTTCTCTTGTTGGTACCTATTGTTATCTCTTCCAAAAAGCAAGGCATCAACATCAAGAAAACAGAGATTCTCACACTGGGCCAATTGGCCACATCATGATAGATGGAGAAGAGATTGAGAATGTTAACAATTTCAGTTTATCTGGTTCCACAATCAACATTTAAGACACCAGCAGTCAGAAAATCAAAAGACAAATTGCATACGAAAATCTTCTGTCAGAGACTTCTCCAGAGGACTAAAGAGTAATGGTGTCAGGCTAGAGACCAAGATGTGCCTGATCTAGGCTTTGGTCTTCTCAATTACTTACCAAGTATCAGAGAGCTGGACAATGACTAAGGAAGACAGAAGAAGAATCAATGTCTTTGAGTCATGGTGCTGGAGAAGAATATTGAACACACCATGGACTGTCAAGAGAACAAACAGATCTGTGCTGGAGAAAAAGAAACCAAGTTGCTCATCGGAGGCAAGGAGTTTGAAGTTCCATCTGGCATGCTTTGGACATGTTGCCAAGAGGGACCAGTCATTGGAGAAGGACATCATGCTTGGGAGGGTGAAGGGACAGCACAGGAGAGGAAGACTCTGGATGAGATAGATTGACACAGAATCTGGAATTATGAGGGCAAGTATGTCAGAGATGGTGAGATTTGCTTAGGATAGAACAGGGGTCACAGCTTTTGTACATAGGTTCATTATGAGTCACAGGCAACTTATCTGCACTTAACAATAATATCATCTGTTAAAAATCAGTAGAATATGCCAAAATGTCTTGGCAGTTCTGAGTGAGATATTACCTCTCCTTCTCAATTTTTTTTTATGTGTGTGTTTTCCCAGTGTTCTACAAAAACCTGTACCTCTTTCCTGACAAGAAGAAACAAAATCCTTTTAAACAAAACGATGACAGGTCTCATCTGTTCCAATCAGAAGTTAGCTCATCCGAGGACAGGCAAATGGGATGGGTTATTCTTGCTGGTTGCCACTGAGTCAATTCTGACTCATGGGGTTTCCTTTTGTGCAGAAAACCATCCTTGGAGTTTTCAAGGTTGTGACATTCCTGAAGCAAATCCCAGGCTTGTTTTCCCAGTCGTCTCTGAGTGGGTTCCAGCCATCAGTTCTTGTGCAATCAATTGCACAAGTTAACTTTGCAAGTCTCACTCACTCTTACCTCTTCAGTCATATCCTAAATGCAGAGGGATGAATGGACTCTACTCAAAACATGGACTCAATGAAGAAAGGACAAAAAACAGTGGCAGGGGATTCTTGGGCCAGATGGGGCGTCCACAGAGACATCTCTAGGGAGCAGCTCCTTGCGTCACATGGGCCCGCCTCTTCAGGGTCTGGGCACCGTGCCTTGTGCTTGCCCTGGCTGCTGTGGTGGAAGCAGGATTTCCGCGGTTGTGTAACAGCACCGTACCAGCGTGCAGAGAGCTGGACTTCGCGTCCCCGGGTCTCTGGCGGCCCCGCCATGGCCTGGGCAGCCGCGGCAGGGAGCTGTGGCGCTCGCCGCACGCTCTCAGTGCACACGCTGCTATTCGACCTGCCTCCGGTGCTGCTGGGCGAGCTGTGCGCGGTCCTGGACAGCTGCGACGGCGCGCTGGGCTGGCGCGGCCTCGGTGAGTGCGGCCCCCTCGGGGCTGGCGGCCTGAGCGGCTTCCCCGCAGCTCTGCGCGGTCCTGGCAGCGGCCTGGTTGGGGAGGTTTCTCTGCTGGAACCAGAGGCTCCACTAGGGGAGGAGGTGGGTGCTGTAGGGAGGGCTTGGAGCTGCACTGGGTAAACTGTCAAATAACAGTGACAACAGGATGACTAGAAAAGTTTAGTGTAGTGTCTCAGCAGAAATTTGTTCGATTTCATAAGAGCTAGGTAGGTAGTTACATCGTAAACTTTTTTTATGTTGTGAGGTACCATCCAGTTCTCTGTCGATGTGATGAGAGCTCCTCTGTTCACAGGACAGGACGCATAGGACTAGGGCCAAGTCCACCACTTGGTGAACTTCCCCCCCCAAGGAATTTATGAGCGCCTTTAATTTACTTCATATGCACTTTTTCTCTCATTGTGGAAAAAAATGGAGTTTGAAGTTTAAAATATAATTGATGCATGAGTCATAATATACTTATCTCTTTTTAATTTATTTTTTATTAATTTCAGTGAACATCTACAGAGATTTTGGAATTCCATTCATTCACTTTTGTACAATAGAAGGGAATCCTGCCCAGTCCTGTCTCATTCGCACAATCCTTGCTGTGTTTGAGCCCATTATAACCTGTGTGTCAATGCTTCTTGTTCAGGATCTCTTCCTCCTTTTCCCTGACCCTTTCTCCACCATGCATGATGTCCTTCTGCAGGGACTGGCTTCTCCACAAACAGACTCTAAGTATCTCAAAGAAGTCTTGGTTCTCAGAACAATCTGGCTGCCCTTCTTTTTTTTTTAATTATTATTCATTTTCATGGACATTTCACAGAGATTTTGGATTTCCATTCATTCATTGTTGCACTTTGCTCGCTGCCCACTCCCCCCACCCATGGTTAACTCTTCTCTTTCAAAAGTAAAAGAAAAATTCCTTCATTGGTATACAATCCCCCCCGCACCAGCACCCCCCCCACCCCCCGCCGCTGCGAGTATACTCCACTCTGCAACCTTCATTCTGAACCCTTAATGGTCATCATAATACCATATAATATATTGCTTTTGAGCTCATCAGTTTCAATGCAGTATACATAATTTATCCAGTTTTTCTCATTCTTACCCCAACCCTGATGTCAGTCCCATTCTACAACAGTGGCACTCTGCAGTGTTTGTCCTTTTGTGACTGAGATATTTCCCTCAGCATAAAGTCCTCGAGGGTCACTTATTTTGAATAATATTGCATGAGTTCTTTGTTTTTCAATGCAGCATTGTATTCCATTGTGTGAATATACCACAGCTTCTCTATCCATTAATTTTTTGATGGGCACTTAGGTTGTTTCCAACTCCTTGCTATTGTGAACAAAACTGCGATAAACATGGGTGTGCATATATCTGCTTGGATGTTGGTTTTATAGCCTCTTTGGGGTATATTTCCAGTAGTGGAAATGCTGGGTCAAATGGTATCTCTATTGGCAACTTTTTGAGAAAGCGCCACACCACTTTCCACAATGGTTGCACCATTTTACAGTTCCACCAACAGTGAATAAATGTCCAAGTCTCTCCACAACCTCGCCAGCATTTGTTGCTTGCTGTTCTGTTAAATTTTGCTAGTCTTACTGGGGTGAGATGATATCTCATAGTTGTTTTGATTTGCTTCTTAGAGCTAGGGATTTTGAACATTTCTTCATGTGCTTGTTAGCCATCTGAATGTCTTCTTTGGTGAAGTGTCTGTTCATATCCTATGCCCATTTTTCGATTGGATTATTTACCTTTATCTTGTTGTGGTGCTCAAGTATTTTATAAATTCTAGATATAAGTCCCTTATCTGATATGTCATTACCAAATCTTTTTCCCAGTCTGTGGCTTCCCCTTTTACCCTCTGGCTGCCCTTCTTCCAAACTGATGTGTTCATTCTTCTGATGCTCTTTCATTTTCTTTGCCAATAATGGTACCGGTTCTGCCATACCTGTTCTCCAAACTTCACAATCATGTAAAGCAATTGATAACACCGTATCTTAGGTCAGGTACAACTTTGTCTTCAGCATGTAATTTTTGTCTTTTTGGGTTTTGTTGTTGTTGTTGTTTTGTTTGTTTGTTTTACTTTAGAGAGAGTTTGCAGGAGTTTGCCCAATTTGTATGTATCAGTTTACAAGGCTAAAACTCTTATGTTAATTTGCTTTCTGAACCTTCTAACATACGTGGGTCAGAGCTGTTATTACCCAATTGCAATGACAGTTTGAATCGACATGCACATGCTATTATTTTTGTTATGGCCAGTGTTTTTAGTCAAATTTTAAAAAATTTCTAATGTTTCAGCTATGTTGGTGTTATGTGTCTTCGAGTTGCCTGCAACTCATAGCTAACCTATGCACCATGGCTCTGAACTCTACCCTATCCTGAATCAGTCTCACTGGCCAGACATGTTGGTAGACATGTCTACTCTCATTATCCCAGTCACTGTATCAGTCCATCTCATCCGGGGTCTTTATCTCCTGCACTGTCCCTCCACCCTTCCAAGCATGGTGTCCTTCTCCAAGGACTGGTCCTTCCTGGCCACATGCCCAAAGTACGTGAGGTAGAGCTTCAAAATCCTTGTCTCCAAGGAGCAGCTTGGCTTCACCCTCTCCAGGACAAATCTGTTTGTCCATGGTATTTTCAATACTCTTCTCCAGCATCACAACTCAAAGGCATCAGTTCTTCGTCTATCATCCTTGTTCATTGTCCAGCTTTCTGATGCATAGCTAGTAATTGTGAAGACAATGGCCTGGATCAGGCACATCTTAGTCTGTAGACTGACACTGTTGCTCTTTAGCACTCTGGTGAGGTCCCTGACAGCAGACTTTCCCAATGAAATTCACTTTTTATTTTCTGACTGTTGGTGCCAAAGATGTTGACCGTGGAACTGAGTAACCTGAAATTGTTAACAATTTCAATCTCTTTTCCATCTCTCATGGTGCTGCCAATAGGCCCAGTGGTGAGACTCTTTGTTTTCTTGATGCTGAGATGCAATCCATATTGAAGACTGTGTATTATGGTAATCTGTATTTGTGAATTTATACCAATCATTTTTTTCTTGAGAATGAGGAAAAGGATAAAATTTTTTAAAAAGCTTAGGCTCATTACCACCAATGTAATAATACATTGTAATTCCATGTAGAAAGAGAAATTTTTGTTGTTGTTGTTGTTGTGTACCATCAAATATGATCCAACTGGCACAGGAGGAGACTGTCCCATCTTCTCCAGCAGGGAATCTGGTGGATTTGAACCATGGGCCTTCTTGCCACTGGCCCATCAAAGCTCCCTGATAAAAATAATTTTGCTGTTAGTGTTCATTCATTCTATATTATATTGTATTCAAGAAATTACAAATAATATTTAAAAAATTTTTAAAAAGTGAAAATTGGACTTCGAAGAAGAAAAAAATTACACTTAACATATTTTATTCTATGAATAAAATGTGAGAATAAGTATTAAAGGATGATTGTTTAGGAGAAGTTTGTGGAGTAGGGAATGACCGTTACCACACTGGGAGACATCAACTGTAATGGTCGGAACCATTCCTACTTGGGACTAACTAACTCAAACTAATACATTGTCATCAAGTCAGAACTGACTCACAGCCGACTCTCCAGAGGGCTTCTGAGGCTGCAAATCTCAGAGAAGATTTCTTATCCTTTCCCAGGCAAGGCTAGTCTATTTGAACCACTAGAAAAGCATTGCCTTTAGGTTAGGATTGCAACCTTCTATCAATCAGGCCATCTCCCTGAAACTCAGACAGTAGCTCTCTCTTCTTTTTTATGACATTTCAGGTATTGTAATATTAAGCAAACACAAGGCTGAAATGGAAGGGAAACCGTTGCATAATGGTTAAGCTACTTGGCTGCTAAAACTAAAAATTGGTGGTAGGATATTACCCAAACACTTCCTGTGAGAAAGACAGCCAAGGAAACCTTATTGGGGTACACAACAATAACACAGGCTTGGAAAAGAAAAATACAAGCATGAATGCATCTTATTTCTATTACTTTCTTGTCTTAACTTGACTGTAGCTCTGCTCTAGGAGTTGCAGTGACTTGAGGCATAAAACAAGAGTTGCTTGGAAAAAGAAGGTGTTAAGAGAAATGCATCTTTTTATAAAAAAAACCCAATAATAAAATCTGAACAGCTTTTGTGTAAGTACCCCATGCTAACCGATTGCGCCACTGGAACTCTTGAACAACTTTTTATTGTGATCTGAGTTGAAGTTTACAGAGCAATTTGAAATTTCATTCAAACTTTCATATGTACTTTGTTTTATTACATTGATTGTAATTCCCACATTTAATGGCACTCTTGCCACTGTTTCTCTGAGGTTTTTGTTTCATTCATTCTTCTATCTTTTACCTTCTGTGCTTTATCTCTGGTTGAATGTTCTAAGGACTGAGCACCTTTCTTGTATTTTTCTTCATTTTATAGAATTGTTTATTGTTTCCCTGAAAGTTATACCACAGACCTAGCTGAAAGCCACAGTCTCAAGAGTCCCACCAGTCTCTATGAGATCACTAAGCCTGGCCATTTTTAGAATATTAAATTTTCTTCCAAATTTATCTACGAGTCTATCCAGGGCCGTCTATTATGTGCCTTCCAGAATAATCAGCAGCAGTAGTTGGTCACCATCCAGTCTTTTGATCTCAGACTCATGGAAATTGAGGCTTGGAAATTTTGTTAGTGCTAGGGAACAATTGTTCCGATGTCTCTTTGAATTTCTTCATTCTTTTCTCTGGACAGGAAGAGACAAATAGGTGGCTCATCATAAGCTTTTAAGGCCCTCGTAACTTCTTAGGGAACTCTGATGCCTTAGAGGTAAGGAGTTGCACTGCCAGCACAAAGGCAGGAAGTGTGAATCTACCAGCTCCTCCATGGGAGAAAAATAGGCAATCTCCTCCAGTGTGATCTACAGCCTCAGAAAACCCACTGGACGATCAGCTATGAGGTGCCATGGAGTCAAGA